TGGTTAACAGAGAGGGTAGAATAATGCAGCTAGTCTACAGAAGGAGTAAAATGACACATCTGCTTCACAGAAGAGGTAAAATAATGCAGTTGCTTCACAGAGAGTGTAGAATAATGCAGCTGGTCTACAGAAGGAGTAAAATGACACATCTGATCACAGAAGAGGTAAAAAGATGCAGCTGGTTCATAGAGAGTGTAGAATAAAGAGTCTGCAGCTGGTCTAGAGAGTGTAGAAGAGAGTGAAGAGTCTGTCTGATCAGAAGAGGTAAAATAATGCAAGAGTCTGTTCTGATCAGAGAGGAGTAGAATGAAGAGTCTGTGTCTACAGAAGTGTAGGAGTAAAAAGAGTCTGTGCTGATCATAGAGAGTGTAGAGAGAGTGAAGAGTCTGTGCTGGTTCATAGAGAGGAGAGAGTAAGAGTCTGTGAGATGAGAGTGTAGGAGAAGAGTCTGTGCTGGATCATAGAGAGTGTAGGAGAGCAGTAAGAGTCTGACATCAATGAGAGTGTAGGAGAGACAGAAGAGTCTAAAAAGATGCAGAGAGTGTAGGAGAGAGTGAAGAGTAATGCAGATGGTCTAGAGAAGGAGTAAAGATAGTGAAGAGTCTCTGCTGATCATAGAGAGTGTAGGGAGAGAGTGAAGAGTCTGTGAATAATAGAGAGTGTAGGAGAGAGTGAAGAGTCTGTGCTGATCACAGAGAGTGTAGAGAGAATGAAGAGTCTGGTCTGACAGAAGAGAGTGTATGACACAGTCTGCTTCACAGAAGAGGTAAAAGAATGCAAGAGTCTGTGCTGATCACAGAGAGTGTAGAATAATGAAGAGGTCTACAGAAGGATCAAAGAGATCTGGAGAGAGTGAAGAGTCTAAAATATCATAGAGAGTTCAGGAGAGTGTGAAGAATCTGTGCTGGTCTACAGAAGGAGGAAAATGAAGAGTCTGTGCTCACAGAGAGAGTGTAAAAGAGAGTGAAGAGTCTGGTTCATAGAGAGTGTAGGAGAATGAGTCAGCTGGTCTCATAGAGAGGTAGAGAGAGGAAGAGTCATCATAGAGAGTGTAGGGAGAAGAAGAGTCTGTAAAATAAGGAGAGAGTGAAGAGTCTGTGTGATCACAGAGAGTGTAGAGAGAGTGAAGAGTCTGTGCTGGTCATAGAGAGTGTAGGAGAGAATGAAGAGTCTGTGCTGATCATAGAGAGTGTAGGAGAGAGTGAAGAGTCTGTGCTGATCATAGAGAGTGTAGGAGAGAGTAAGAATAATGTGCTGATCATAGAGAGGAGTGGAGATCTGAGTGAAGAGTCTGAGGTAAAAAGATAGAGAGTGTTCATAGAGAGTGAAGAGTCTGTGCTGGTCTACAGAGGAGTAAAATGACACATCTGAGTCTGTGCTGGTCAAAGAGAGTGTAGGGAGAGGTTCAAGAGTCTGTGTAGAATAGAGAGTGGTCTACAGAGAGTGAAGAGTCTGTGCTGATCAGAGAGTGTAGGAGAGAGTGAAGAGTCTGTGCTGGTTCATAGAGAGTGTAGGAGAGAGTGAAAGTGCAGCTGATCATAGAGAGTGAGGGAAAGTGAAGATCTGCTGATCATAGAGAGTGTAAAAGAGAGTGAAGAGTCTGTGCTGATCATAGAGAGTGTAGGGAGAAGTGAAGAGTCTACAGAAGGATCAAAGAGAGTCTGCTTCAGAAGAGGAAAAATCTGCAGCTGATCATAGAGAGTGTAGGATAATGCAGCTGGTCTGATCCAAAGATCAGAAGGAGTAAAATGACAGTCTGAGTCTGTGCTGATCATTCAGAGAGTGGGAGAGAAAGAGTCTGGTCTGATCATAGAGTTGACAGAGAGTGAAGAGTCTGCAGCTGATCATAGAGAGTGTAGGAGAGTGAAGAGTCTGTGCTGATCATAGAGAGTGTAGAAGAGGTAAAATAGTCTGCAGCTGATTCATAGAGAGTGTAGGATAATGCAGCTGGTCTGTGAAGGATCAAAATGAGAGTCTGGACAGAAGAGGTAAAAGTCTGTGCAGATCATAGAGAGTGTAGAAGAATGCAAGAGTCTGGTCTGATCATAGAGAGTGTAAAAGTGAAGAGTCTGTGCTGATCACAGAAGAGGTAAAAGAGAATGAAGAGTCTGTGCTGATCATAGAGAGTGTAGAAGAGTGAAGAGTCTGTGCTGATCATAGAGAAGGTAGGAAAATGAAGAGTCTGTGCTGATCAGAGAGAGTGTAAAATAGATGAGTGAAGAGTCTGTCATCATAGAGTGTAGAATAGTGAAGAGTCTGTGCTGATCATAGAGAGTGTAGGAAGAGTGAAGAGTCTGTGCTGATCATAGAGAGTAGGAGAGAATGAAGAGTCTGTGCTTCATAGAAGAGTGTAAAAGGAAGAGTCTGTGCTTCATAGAGAGTGTAGAATAATGCAGCTGTCTACAGAAGGATCATAGAGAGTGTAGGAGAAGAGGTAAGAGTCTGTGCTGCAGCTGGTTCAGAGAGAGTGGAGAATAAGAGTCTGTGCTGGTCATAGAGAAGGTAGGAAAGAAGAGTGAAGAGTCTGCTTCATAGAGAGTGTAGGTAGAAGTGAAGAGTCTGTTGATTCATAGAGAGTGTAGAAGAATGAAGAGTCTGGTCTACAGAAGGAGTGTGAAGAAAGAGTCTGTGCTGATCAGAAGAGTGTAAAAGATGCAGCTGGTTCATAGAGAGTGTAGGAGAATGCAGTCTGTGCTGACAGAGAGAGTGTAAATGAAGAGTCTGCATCTGATTCATAGAGAGTGTAGGAATAATGAAGAGTCTGTTCACAGAGAGAGTGTAGAGATAAGAGTGTGCTGATCATAGAGAGTGTAGGAGAGAGTGAAAATGATCATAGAGAGTGTGGGAGAGAGTGAAGAGTCTGTGCTGATCATAGAGAGTGTAGGAGAGAGTGAAGAGTCTGTGCTGATCATAGAGAGTGTAGGAGATAATGAAGAGTCTGTGCTGACAGAGAGAGTGTAGGAGAGAGTGAAGAGTCTGTGCTGATCATAGAGAGTGTAGGAGAGAGTGAAGAGTCTGTGCTGACATAGAGAGTGTAAAAGAGAGTGAAGAGTCTGGTGATCATAGAGAGTGTAGGAGAGAGTGAAGAGTCTGTGCTGATCATAGAGAGAGTGTAAATGAAGAGTCTGTGCTGATCAGAGAGAGTGTAGGAGATGTGAAGAGTCTGGATCATAGAGAGTGTAGGGAGAAGTGAAGAGTGGTCTACAGAAGAGAGGAGAGAGTGAAGAGTCTGTGCTGACAGAAGAGGTAGGAGATAGTGAAGAGTCTGTGCTGATCATAGAGAGTGTAGGAGATAGTGAAGAGTCTGTCTGATCATACAGAGAGTGAGGAAAGTGACACTGTGCTGATCTAGAGAGTTAGGAGATAGTGAAGAGTCTGTGCTGATCATAGAGAGTGTAGGAGAGAGTAGAGAGTCTGCAGCTGATCATAGAGGTGTAGAGAGATGAAGAGTCTGTGCTGATCATAGAGAGTGTAGGAGAAAAGAGTCTGTGCAGCATGAGAGTGTAGGAGATAGTGAAGAGTCTGTGCTGATCATAGAGAGTGTAGGAGAGAGTGAAGAGTCTGTGCTGATCATAGAGAGTGTAGGAGAAGTGAAGAGTCTGTGCTGATCATAGAGAAAGTGTAGGAGAGAGTGAAGAGTCTGTGCTGATCATAGAGAGTGTAGGAGAGCAGCTGGTCTGTGCAGATCATAGAGAGTGTAGGAGAAGTGAAGAGTCATGCTGATCATAGAGAGTGTAGGAGAGAGTGAAATAATGCTGTGGTGATCATAGAGAGTGTAGGAGAGAGGAAGAGTCTGTGCTGATCATAGAGAGTGTAGGAGAGAGTGAAGAGTCTGTGCTGATCATAGAGAGTGTAGGAGAGAGTGAAGAGTCTGTGCTGATCATAGAAGAGTAGGGAAAATAAAGAGCAGTGCTGACTCATAGAGAGTGTGGAGAGAATAAAGAGTCAGTGCTGGTCTAGAGAGTGTAGGAGAGAAAAAGAGTCTGTGCTGATCATAGAGAGTGTAGGAGAAAAAGAGTCTGTGCTGATCATAGAGTGTAGGAGAGAAAGAGTCAGCTGATCATAGAGAGTGTAGGAGAAAAAGAGTCTGTGCTGATCATAGAGAGTGTAGGAGAGAGTGAAGAGTCAGTGCTGGTCATAGAGAGTGTAGGAATAATGAAGAGTCTGTGCTGATCAGAGAGAGTGTAGGAGAGATCTGACACATCTAGAGAGTGTAGGAGAGAGTGAAGAGTCTGTGCTGATCAAGAGAGTGTAGGAGAGAGTGAAGAGTCTGTGCTGATCATAGAGAGTGTAGGAGAGAGTGAAGAGTCTGTGCTGATCATAGAGAAGGTAGAAATGAAGAGTCTGTGCTGATCAGAAGAGGTAAAAAGATGAAGAGTCTGGTTCATAGAGAGTGTAGGAGAGAATGCAGTCTGGTCTACAGAGAGTCTGTAAAGAGAGTGAAGAGTCTGTGCTGATCACAGAGAGGTAAAAGAGAGTGAAGAGTCTGTGCTGATCATAGAGAGTGTAGGAGAATAAAGAGTCTGTGCTGATCATGGAGAGTGTAGGGAGAGAGTGAAATAGTGTGCTGATCATAGAGAGTGTAGGAGAGAGTGAAGAGTCTGTGCTGATCATAGAGAGTGTAGGAATAGTGAAGAGTCTGTGCTGATCATAGAGAGTGTAGAATAATGCAGAAGAGTCTGTGAAGGAGTCAATGACAGATCTGTTCAGGAAGAGGTAAAAGTCTGTGCTGATCATAGAGAGTGTAGAAGAAGTGAAGAGTCTGTGAAGGATCAAAGAGAGTGTAGGAGAGAGTGAAGAGTCTGTGCTGATCATAGAGAGTGTAGGATAATGAAGAGTCTGTGCTGATCATAGAGAGTGTAGGAGAGAGTGAAGAGTCTGTGCTGATCACAGAGAGTGTAGGAGAGAGTGAAGAGTCTGGTCTGATCAGAGAGAGTGTAATGAGATAGTGAAGAGTCTGTGCTGATCATAGAGAGTGTAAAATAAAGAGTCTGTGTTCATCATAGAGAGTGTAAAATAAGAGTGAAGAGTCTGTGCTGATCATAGAGAGGGTAGAGGTAATGCAGCTGATCATAGAGAGTAGGAGAGAAAAGAGTCATCTGATTCATAGAAGTAGGTAAAAAAGAGTCTGTGCTGATCATAGAGAGTGTAGGAGAATGAAGAGGTCTACAGAAGGAGTAAATGATCATCTGAGAGTGTAGGAGAGGTAAAGAGTCTGTGCTTGATCATAGAGAGTGTAGAATAATGCAGTCTGGTCTATCAGAGAGGAGGAAAGTGAAGAGTCTGCTTCATCAGAGAGAGTGTAAAAGAAGTGAAGAGTCTGTGCTGATCATAGAGAGTGTAGGAATAATGCAGCTGGTCTACAGAAGGAGTGTAATGAGAGTGAAGAGTCTGTGCTGATCATAGAGAGGTAAAAGAATGCAAGAGTCTGATTCAATCATAGAGAGGTAGGAGATAGTGAAGAGTCTGTGCTGATCACAGAGAGTGTAGGAGATAGTGAAGAGTCTGGTGATCATAGAGAGTGTAGGAGAGAGTGAAGAGTCTGTGCTGATCAGAGAGAGAGGAGAGAGTGAAGAGTCTGAAGATAGAGAGTGTAGGGAGAGAGGAAGAGTCTGCTGGATCATAGAGAGTGTAGGAGAGAGTGAAGAGTCTGTGCTGATCAGAGTGTAGGAGAGAGCAAGAGTGTTCATAGAGAGAGAGAGTGAAGAGTCTAAAAGCTGATCATGAGAGTGTAGGAGAGAGTGAAGAATCTGTGCTGATCACAGAAGGTAGGAGAGTGAAGAGTCTGTGCTGATCACAGAGAGTGTAGGAGAGAGTAAAGAGTCTGTTCATGAGAGAGTAGAGAGTAAGAGCAGCTGGTCTAGAGAAGGAGTCTGTGACACATCTGCTTCACAGAAGAGGTAAAAGTAAGAGTCTGGTTCATCAGAGAGTGTAAAATAAAGAGTCTGTGCTGATTCATAGAGAGGGTAGGAGATAATGCAGCTGGTCTACAGAAGGAAGAAAATGACACATCTGAGTGTAGAAGAGGTAAAAGTCTGCAGCTGATTCATAGAGAGTGTAGAATAATGCAGCTGGTCTACAGAAGGAGTAAATGAAGAGTCATCTGATTCATAGAGAGTGTAAAAGAATGAAGAGTGGTTGATCATAGAGAGTGTAGGAGAATGAAGAGTCTGGTCTGATCATAGAGAGTGTAGGAAAATGAAGAGTCTGTGCTTCAGAAGAGGAGATATGTAAGAATAATGCATAGAGAGTGTAGGGAGAGTGTAGAAGTAATGCAGCTGATCACAGAGAGGTAGGAGAGAGTGAAGAGTCTGTGCTTCATAGAAGAGGTAAAATAATGAAGAGTCTGTGCTGATCAGAGAGTGTAGAATAATGAAGCTGGTCTACAGAGAGGAGGAAATGAAGAGTCTGTGCTGATCATAGAGAGTGTAAAATAGTGAAGAGTCTGTGCTGATCATAGAGAGTGTAGGGAGAGTGAAGAGTCTGTAATGATCAGCTGGTCTAGGAGAGAGTGAAGAGTCTGTGCTGACACAGAGAGAGGAGAGAGTCTGTCTGTTGCTTTCATAGAGAGTGTAGAATAATGCAGTGGTGATCAGAGAGTGTAGGAAGAGTGAAGAGTCTGTGCTGATCATAGAGAGTTCAGGAGAGAGGGAAGAGTCTGTGCTGATCATAGAGAGTGTAGGAAAGTGAAGAGTCTGTGCTGATCATAGAGAGTGTAGGAAGAGTGAAGAGTCTGTGCTGATCATAGAGAGTGTAGGAGAAGTAAAGAGTCTGGTCTACAGAAGGATAGAGAGTGTAGGGAGAGACAGAAGAGTCTGTAAAATAATGCAGAGTGTAGGAGAGAGTGAAGAGTCTGTGCTGACTATGTAGATAAGAGTCTGGTCTACAGAAGAGAGTAAAATGAGAGTCATCTGACTGATCAGAAGAGGTATCTGGATCACAGAGAGGTAGGAGAATGCAGAGTGGTGCTGATCAGAGAGAGTGTAATGAGAGTGAAGAGTCTGTGCTGATCAGAGAGTGTAGGGAAATGAAGAGTCTGTGCTGATCATAGAGAGAGGGAAAGAATGAAGAGTCTGTTATCACAGAGAGTGTAGAATAATGAAGAGTCTGGTCTACAGAAGGAGGAGAAATGAAGAGTCTGCTTCATAGAAGAGGTAAAAGAATGAAGAGTGTTTGACACAGAGAGTGTAGAATAATGAAGCTGGTCTACAGAAGAGTAAATGACACATCTGTTTCACAGAAGAGGTAAAATAATGAAGAGTCTGTGCTGATCATAGAGAGTGTAGGGAGATAGTGAAGAGTCTGGATCATAAGAGAGTAAGGAGAGAGTTGAGTCTGTGCTGATCAGAGAGAGTGTAGGAAAGGAAGAGTCTGTGCTGGTCATAGAGAGTGTAGGAGAGAGTGAAGAGTCTGTGCTGATCAGAAGAGTGTAAAGAGAGACAGAGTCTGTGCTTCACAGAGAGTGTAGGTAAAAGAGTCTGTGCTGGTTCATAGAGAGTGTAGGAATAGTGAAGAGTCTGTCTGATCATAGAGAGTGTAGGAGAGAGTGAAGAGTCTCTGCTTCACAGAAGAGTGTAAAAGAAGGGTGCAGTCTGTGCTTCATAGAGAGTGTAGAATAATGAAGGTGGTTCATAGAGAGGTAGAATAATGAAGCTGGTCTACAGAGAGAGTGTAAATGAACATCTGCTTCATAGAAGAGGTAAAAGAATGAAGAGTTGATTATAGAGAGTGTAGAAGAATGCAGTTGGTCTACAGAAGGAGGGAAATGAAGATCTGTGCTTCACAGAAGAGGTAAAATAATGCAGCTGGTTCATAGAGAGAGTGAAGAGTCTGTGCTGATCTCCAGAAGGAGTAAATAGAGTCTCTGCTTCACAGAAGAGGTAAAATAATGCAGCTGGTTCACAGAGGGGGTAGAATAATGAAGGTGGTTAACAGAGAGGGTAGAATAATGAAGCTGGTCTAGAGAAGGAGTAAAATGACACATCTGATCATAGAGAGGTAAAATAATGAAGAGTCTGTGCTGATCATAGAGAGTGTAGAGATAATGAAGAGTCTCTACAGAAGGAGTAAAATGACATCTGGAGACAGAAGAGGTAAAATAATAGAGAGTGTCACAGAGAGTGAAGAATAATGCAGCTGGTCTAGAGAGTGAGGAAAAGTGAAGATCTGCTTCACAGAGAGAGGTAAAATAATGCAGCTGGTTCATAGAGAGTGTAGAATAATGCAGCTGGTCTCAGAAGGAGTAAATGACACATCTGCTTCAGAAGAGGTAAAGTAATGCAGCTGGTTCACAGAGAGGGTAAAATAAGAGTCTGTTGTTTCACAGAGAGTGTAGAATAATGCAGCTGGTCTACAGAAGGAGTAAATGAAGATCTGTGCTTCACAGAAGAGGTAAAAAGATGCAGCTGGTTCATAGAGAGTGTAGAATAATGCAGCTGGTCTCCAGAAGGAGGGAAAATGAACCTCTGCCTCACAGAAGAGGTAAAATAATGCAGCTGGTTCACAGAGGGGGTAGAATAATGCAGAGTCTGTGCTGAGAGGGTAGAATAATGCAGCTGGTCTACAGAAGGAGTAAATGACACATCTGTGCTGGATCAGAAGAGGTAAAATAATGCAGTTGCTTTGATCATAGAGAGTGTAGAATAATGCAGCTGGTCTACAGAAGGAGTAAATGACACATCTGAGTCTTCACAGAAGAGGTAAAAGAATGCAGTTGCTTCACAGAGAGTGTAGAATAATGCAGCTGGTCTACAGAAGGAGTCTGATGACACATCTGTTTCACAGAAGAGGTAAAAAGATGCAGCTGGTTCATAGAGAGTGTAGAATAATGCAGCTGGTCTCCAGAAGGAGTAAAATGACACATCTGCTTCACAGAAGAGGTAAAATAATGCAGTTGCTTCACAGAGAGTGTAGAATAATGCAGCTGGTCTACAGAAGGAGTAAAATGACACATCTGCTTCACAGAAGAGGTAAAATAATGCAGCTGGTTCACAGAGAGGGTAAAATAAAGCAGTTGTTTCACAGAGAGTGTAGAATAATGCAGCTGGTCTACAGAAGGAGTAAAATGACACGTCTGGTTCACAGAAGAGGTAAAATATTGCAGCTGGTTCACAGAGGGGGTAGAATAATGCAGCTGGTTCAAAGAGGAGGTAAAATAATGCAGCTTGTTCACAGAAGGGGTAAAGTAAGCACTTTGTATTATATGATTCATACCAAGAAATACCAGAGGTCTTAATTGAATTTAATATCCATCATTTTATACTATTGTTTCCTCCATTCATCGCCCAAGATCCACCCAAAGTAGAGTTTATTTAATGAGGTTGTTTTATGTATGTAAGAGGAGAGGGTAAGAAGGGCATATTAAGAGGATATGTAGGATAGATAATGGCTGACCTTGGACTTGATGTACTTAAGATTGTCGTGATTGGGGAAGTATCCTCTTCAGAGGTTATTCCACAAAACAGCAACTCTTGGGAATAAGCTGTCCAAATGGAATTTCCTTCTTGCTATATAAGAATATGAATATCAAATAGGAAGGGAATGAGAATGGTTTGCCCGCAACTAATACCTGCCATGTACATAACATGGCAGGTATTAGCTGTAAAGGTCTGAACTGGTGGAAATTTCTTCAGGTGATATACATTGAAATTTCAAAGTGAACCCTTTATTTAGTCCATGGGGATGGATTGTTCTAATCAAGCCAAGCATAAACAGGAATACAATATGGTAACAAGTATTACAGAGAGTTAGAGACACACAAGAATAGCAGAAATAGGTTTATAAACCCCCAAAATTCACTAATTATTTACCTTGTTACTTTTAAGGAAAACTTTCAGCGCTCTAATTTTTTATTTTTTGTTTTTATTTTTATTTTTTTTTGTACTTAGCTTTCATTTTTACGTTTACGATGCTTTATGGAAAATATAAAGAAATTAAAAAATAAGACTGTTAATAGTGAGATTAAATTTCATAAGAAAAAGGTATCTAATTAATTTAGGTACCTTTCTTATGAAATTTTATCAGAAGTGTACATAAAATACTATAATTTTATGTACATTTATTACATTTTACTGTGTTATTTGTATTTCCATTCATTTTATTATTAATTTTGATATTTCATTTATGAAAAAATGTCATAACTGAGATTAATATAAAGATAAGATCAAATAAATTAAAGTTTAGCAGTAGTTAAATTTCATAAGATGATACTGTTACTTGTAGGTACCCTTCTCAGTTGAAATTGAAAACTTAAATTAACTTCTCCATACGTGTTTCGCAAAAGTAAAGGACTTAACAGCGGAGAACAATGCTGAACTCAAATAATACAACTAAATTGTATTCTGGTTAGTCTTCCGTACTTGATAATTACTGTCCGACTATAAACACAAAAATTACATTTCTTAATTACCATGGCTAATCTGATTGGTCCAAATTATACAATTTTCAAAGCGCTAGACAATGACAATCTCACACGGATATTTTGAAAGGTTGATGTTGCTTTTAACTAATGTTAAAATATTTTTAAAATTCAATTTAAACATTTTTTTAAAATCTTTTTTAAAATTAAAGAAATAAGAAATAATTGTATTAAAAATTCAATTTTCATTGAAAAAATTTTTTTGCTTTCAGAAAATATTGTCCATATTCATAAAAACAAATTAAAACAAATAAAAGCATTTGAAACTAAATAATATATTTGTTTTATTGAGTTTTGTATGTTACAATTCACAGCTGATTTTCAGGTACGTTGGCCAAAAAAAAAAAATACATGATTTGCATTCTTCAAAGCCTTGTGCTTTTTAACTATTGTAATCACTAAAACTGATGGTCTCAAATTTCTAGAGTTTTTCATAATATTAGTTATGGGGGTGTTAATAAATATAAAAAAAATATTTCTGCCATGACTTTAATAAAAAAAAAAAAAACATATTTATAATAATTTCGATCATCTGTGAATAGTTTCTGAAAGTTTCATTAACATCTGACAATTATTTTTATTTTTGCAAGATTTTCCAAATTAATGTGTGTAAATACAAAAAAATTATCTATGTTATTTATTACCCCTTGTTGTGACAAAGAGAAACAAGGTTTTTTAAATCAAAATTTAGAATATTCTAAAAAAATGAAAAAATTTTTAAAAAATAAT